AAATGGTATAAAGGACCTTTTTTCTTGTCCAAAAGTGCGCGAATATTTGAAGTCTTGGTCGTATCTTCAATTGTTGGAGAAATTTGTGAATCGTTATCTATGTTTATTTGTTTTCTGTTATTTGTGAGTTTCTCAACACGGTCATTAAGAGGATCATATGCTTGTTTGTTTTCTTTAAAAATATCTTTTGCTAAATTCATTTGCAATTTCTTGTATGTGTGCAAAGAGTTTTCTTCTTCCGATGCTTTTGCTTTCTTTTTGAAATATGAATTTTTCTTAGAAATTTTTAAACTATCATCTGTGCTTATTTCAACTCTTCTGGAGATAGGAGATTTCGCAATCTCGTCAACATTATTTTTCGTTGATTGAAAGTCCTTCTTCTGTGCATTAATCGCATCTGCTTTCTTCTTTAACATATTACTTTTATTTTGTTGGAATAATATCTCCATATCATTCTCTGCATTATTTTTGATTTGTTGCACATCCTTTTTCTTCATGTTATTAACCACATCGGATTTCTTCTTTATGATATCCTTTTTATTTTTTTTTAGCAATTCCTCAAACTCAATCTCAACATCAGCATTATTTTGCATTGGTTGAGAATCAGTTCGTTTCATTTTATTAACCGCATCTGGTTTTTTCTTAAGCATATCATTTTCGTTTTGTTCTATCAGCCCCTCAGAATCATCCTCAGCATTATTTTCTATTGCTTGAGAATCTTTCTTCTTTTCAATACTAACCACCTTCGATTTCTTTCCTATCGTGCCTCTCTTACTATGTTTTAGCAATCCATGAATCTCATCTCCAACATTATTCTCTACTGATGGAAAATCTATCTTTCTGACTTTATCTACCTCTTCAGTCATTTTCAATGATATATTATTTTCATTTTGTTTTAACAATTTCTCCATATCTTCCTCAGCATCATCTTTTATTGATTGGGAAACCTTTTTCTTCACATCTTTAATACCAGATTTCTTCTTAAGCACATCTCTTTTATTTTGTTTTAGCATTTCTTTGTATGTTAGAAACGGTGCATTTTGTATTTTTCGCTTCTGGACAACCTCTTCCACTTTCGCAGAGTTATTTGAGTTTTCATTGTTTTTAATTGTGTTTTCATCCATTTGTGTTTTCTCAATGGAATTGCCGGTGTCAGGTTCAGATAGAACAGTATTTTGGTTTTGATTTGAGCTTATATTATTTTGTTCAATCGAATCATCTTTCTGTTTTGATAGCACCTTTTCTTTTCTTGTATGCAAATCGTTGCTAGTATGAAAGGGTTTACTTTGTTCTCTTTCTAGTCCTGTAGAAGCAGTTTTTAAATATACTTTAGCTCCAGATCTTTTAGTTTTCTTGCTATTTTTTATAATTTCAGTTGTTTCTGACTGGAAGTTTTGAAGTTTTTTTTCACTTTTAAGGTTTTCATAGTTGTCATTTTTTTTATCATTACTATCATGACCACCTTTTATAAATCTATTTTCCCTAGGATTCTCCAACAATTTTGAATTGACTTTTGATCGATTTATTACAGTGATAGGTTCCATTTTTTTGTTCGGATCAATTACATCAGTTGTAAATATGTTATTTTTTAAATATCCGTTAACTAAGTGTGTAGGTTTTGTTGGAATTATGTATTCAAGTGGCTTTTCAGTTTTTCCTTCAGGCAAAATTTGATTCTTAAAATATTTAAACTTTGAAACATCCTTTAGCTTTGGTGTTAAGTCAACATTCATCAACGAAAGTTCTTTATCGAATAAATCTGATATTTCTTTATCCGCATTACGCAACTCTGAACTTGAAATTGATATGCTGTCTGGATCTGTAAAATCGCGGTCGATATCGCAAAAGTTAGATTTGGATGAATCTCTACGAGTCAGTCCATATTTCCTCAATGTACTTTCATTTTTTAAAATAATTGGATTATCTGTTAAAGTCACTTTCTTCAATAGTTTTATGTTATCATCTAATAGTCTTGCAGATTGATCTAATAGTTCTTTAGATTCTGAAAGAAGTTAATAATAATAATGTAGAAAGAGATGAAAAAATCTAAAGAACTGCTAATGGTAGAGTTTAAAAGTCCTTCTTCATTGTTCTAAATACATAAAAAACACACTTATTTAAAAGTTAAGTACAGAATCATTACGAAGTATCATGGTAATGAGGCTTTGTAGAATAATATTAAAAACGTTTTTTGGTACGGACTTTTTGGGCACGATTTTTTTAAGCGTTTCTTTTGTGTTATTTTTATTCCTCTGTTTTTTTCTGCGACTTCTTGTTGAAGAAAATATTATAAAGTTATATATAGAAATTGTTAGTATATGAAGTTAACACAAACACTTTGCTTTAGGATTAACTAAAGAATAAGTATGCTTTTTTAGTAACAACTACTTTCTGTCGTTAGGATATTAAGTTTTCTTAAACTTGATTTAATTAAATCTCCTTGACCTATGATTCATAAGGGATAAAGGATATTAATTATATGGATCTTTCCCCTCCCTTTAAAGGGTAATAGAAGAGCATCGATCGCCAGAACCATTATCGCCATCTGGTTCTATGATTGCTTTGTATCGGAAGCTTGAAATTTATATTTACAGGAAAATTGATCAACATTTTTAAGTGCTGTGTATTGTTGATAATGCACATGGTCTTGATAAACATATAGTTTATCAATGGGAAAGTCATCAAGTCCTCATTTTGTTACTAAACATCACCAGTCTCTCTGTGTTGGATATTATTAATTAATTTTCTGCCTTTTGAACACAGAAGAAATTTAGAAGTATTTAGGTTATTATCTGTTTCAACAGGGCACTGGCCTATAGGAGGGCTTCGGGTAAGCTTGGCTTACACTGTAATATCTTCTATAGTATATATCTATTGGTGCTCAAAAAAAAAGATACCAAAACACTTATTGTGTGTATGTCTAGACTTGTCCAAAGTCAGTCTAAATTTTTGGCTGTCCCTGTTTTTGGCTGTTATTGTATGTTATACCTAATTAAATATCAAGATGATAGCTAAAGACTTGATTTAAGATTTATAGAAATTAATAGAAGCAGTCAAAGAAACACAAAAAGGTTCCTTTTCTGGTTTATGGCATAATAATTATTATAATAATTATTATTATAATTAATTATAATTATTCATGTGTTGGATCTGCTTACCATCAATACTTTTGTCATTTATAATCATATTTAAGGATCCATCATTGATTGCCAATCCATTTCCAGATTTTTTTGGGTTTTTCGTTATTTGCTTTTTAGGCGATTTTACTTTACTCATTTTAAATTTGAAGATCCAGAATATATATTTCAAAGTTTAAGATAATGTCTATTTAAAGTAAATAAAAAATATTATTGCAAAAAAAAATTCAATTAGTTACAGTTTTTATACTTTCTGATTGGTTTGAAAAATTTTGCTAAAGTAAAAATATAAAAAATAAATATTTGTTAAGATTTTTATTTTGTAATGACTGCTTTGGTTCAATCAATTCAATTTCAATTTAAATCAAATTTTTTTTTGTAGTGTAGTTTAAATAACTCCACTTAGCAATAGTACCCAATTCATTATAGAACTATGCTTGATGCATGTTTGTAGACACCACCAACAGCCTGATAGTGTCAGAGTTCTTAACCATCCGCGTAATTAGAATTGGTGTCATCCAGTGCGATATATTCGACTCAACAAATGTATATTTTTCTGAGATAATATTATGTAACTGAAATTTAATTTTTAAAAGAATGACATTGTATTGAATAACATTTCAAATTAATTTATTGAAAGAAGAGTGTCGGTCTAAACAAATTACCATCTTCCAATTCGTTCGAGCGACTCTTTGTGAGTCCACAGACGACAGCTTTTGTAACAAGTTCGCACCTCTTTTGGCTAGATAATTAGCCTTCTCGTGTGCATACCTGAATTCATAGGGCACTGGTAATATTATAGTATTGATTTTCCTTAAAATATATAGAGGATTTATGCAATCAACTATTATTTTCAAGATAATCCTTACTTTATAAAGGATCCTTATTGTCATCTGATATTGTTCCCTGAAAAATTTTTAGATATACACTGGAGAGGATGTCCAAATTAGTAAGTACCATAAGTTGTAAGAATAGGAAAAGAATGGATATTAAGAATTACTCTGAAAATGTGAGTTTAACAGATTTTCATTGCCCCTGTGAACTGACTGGAGTAAGACGGTACAATCAGTATTTAGCAAGAAAATCATGCTTTGTTGGATCTGATTATACAGTCAGCAGATAATGTCAGAAGAATTGGTTTAATCGCTTAATCTGTGGACCGCATTCTTATTATGAAATAAATTGGTGCATAATCAGATTCGGATAAAGGAGTTTTTTTGGTGAAATAAGTTGTCATTAACAATCCTGGTAATAATCAGGCTTAAGGGTTGGCAGTTATCTGTTCGAGAATTTAAAAACGGTACCACTTTTCTCCATTTCAGAACGGGTCATCATGCATTGCATTAGCATCTTAAAAAGACTGGTTTGTCTCTGGGAACAGAATGTCGACTCTGCTTGGAGGCATTTATTACTATCCGCTAGTTGATCTATTTTTGTAAGTGTGATCAACGTAAACAATTTATGACTTCAAAATCCTGACATTTTAAAAACCATGTTATATCAATGAAGTTATCCAGATTGGAATTTCCTCTAACACTTTTTCAAAAATGTGCATTTTACCACTGCAATATATGAATAGCAAACTTCCGATACTTTTTAAATAGCGTGTATACGAATATACGTTGGCAACCAGTAGACAATATAACTAGCTTTTATGCTCAATACTGAAGATTTTATGACTGTTGTTTATTTTTTTGAGAATAACTAAATCTAATGCTCTTTATGTCATTAGTATTTTAACCACTCCATCTTATATTCGAACGAACCTTATGCCAAAGAATTCCAAAATGTTTTTATTTGGCAAAGAAAAACAGTTTAAAATATCTTAAAGGTTATTTTTTGCTATATTATGGAGTTCAGGTATCATTCCTGAAATGGTTTTCATTTGTATTCTAACACATTTGCTTACAAACAGCAAAAACGTACCTAAGCAGGACTACACCACAATTACCAATGAACTTTGGCGTGCACACTTCAGCCATTTCCATTCATATGAGGTGTGCAGCTTAATCCAAATGAATGGACAAACCAGCACAAAGTTATTTTGTCGTTGGCAATGTGGCAATTGAATTGTTGTTGGCAAATTGCCAACATAAATAAAATGCACAGCAATACTTCAATACACATATCAAGAGACTAAGCAAAAAGTTGCTACAGCCTCTAACAATGCCACCTCGAGCAATTCTACATCTGGCAACTTCATACACTGCAATTGTTAACTTTGTTAAATCTGTTGTATAAGTTAAATGCTATTGTTGTTGTTGTTGTTTTTATAGTTTTAGTCTAGTTTTTGTTCAAAGTTGCTAATTTGTGTTTTTTTTGAAAGATGCTTTGTTCTAGCACTTTTTATACACGTGTTCACGTACGTGCTCTACACCCTTTTTCTGTACTTTCACGTTAATATTTGCGTTTATTTTAGTTGAGTTCGATAAAATATTTTGTTGAATTTATTTTTTGTTTATTTTACTGGAGATTTTCCTTCTCATGTGAAAGTACGAAATAAAATCAGTACCCTGACGCTTGTCAATTGTCCTTCAAAAGTTTTTAACGTATTTCCCTAAATTTAATTGCGGCGTTCGTTAAAGATCCATTGCCACTCGCTCAAAAAAGGTATTCACCTAAATTTGTACAAAGCTTAACGTTTCCAGTTCCATTTTCGGTGTTGCCCTTTCTGTGTTTCTGCGTTTCTGCTTTTCTGTTTCTTTCCGTTTTAAGCAAGTCTAACAAATTACATGTGGCAACTCTGTGATGTTGATTTTTTGTTTATTTTTAAAAATTTTTACTTTTTCAATGGGTTTTTTTTTCGTTTTCATTTCAACTCTCCGCTTAAAAAGTCTAAATGGTTATAAAGTGCTTTCGTTCCTTTTCTGCCATTGTTTTGTTGTTTTTTCTTATTTTAATTTGTATTGTTGGTGAAGGCACTTAAACACAGAAGGTACTTCAGGTCATATTGTTAACATATTTTGTCAGTTTAGTGAATAAATTTAAATGTCACTTTAGGGCTCATCAACTGCGTCAAGTAAAATAAATGCTTGAATAATTGCAAATAAAAATTTTGATTAACTTTTAATAATTTATTTAAATACATTTTTAAATAATGTTGATTGAAGATAATTGTTTGTAAGTAACGCGGTGACATAGACAGAATTTCAATTAAAGAAAGGTGTAAACAATACATATTTTTAAAAAATATAGTTTTAAAAAAATACTTAAATTAATTACTTAATTAATTACTTACCTACTTACTTATTACTTACTTACTCTCCATTAATTACTTAAGTAATCATGGCTTATACTGTGTTTACACTTATCATTACTGAACACTTTTATCATATTTGAAATGAATTTTGTATGGTTTTTGTAAGAAAAATAACACATATTCCTGCATATTTGTTTAGTTAAGTACAGTTGTGATAATAGTAATAGTATATGTGCATAAAAAAAGAAACAAAAACCAAAGTGCCAGCTAACAGCACTAAAAAGTAGAACAAAAAAAACTGTGCATGCAAATAGCAAGAAAAAATCATACCTAAGTATTTGAAGGAAAATAACAAAATATTAAAAAAGTATTTGAAATATGAGCAATATCAAATTTAAGCTAGTTTTAATGCGAATAGATCCGTGGATATAAATTTAATCCGTTTTTATTAAATAATTTCAGTGGTTTAATAAAATTTGTAGTAATACTTTATTTATATTATGAGGCATTAATAATATATGTACTTTAATATATATAGTTGTTCGATTCTTTCCGGGAGAAACTTCTGACTCTCAAGTCCGCCTCCTACCTACGTATGCATATGTGTGAACACATCAATTTTAAGTGTTTGGCTTAACTTTTTTATGTTATAATAGGTACATGTAAAACTAAAGAACTAAGGTTGAGATCTTGTAGTTTATGTTTTTAGTTATCATCGAAACAATCAATAACATATTTCAGAATGAACTTATATTATGATCATAGAAAATAATTATTAATTTAAATATAACTACACTTAGCTATTAGTCATATATAAAAAGGCAGTGGCGTTGCGGTGATTATACTGATGGGGAGAAGGGCACATATGTTAGATACAATTTTTTTTGTCCGTATTTTGGTTGTTCACATAATTTTCGTATTATTTCTTACATTGCTAAGAGAGGGGATCTGCGTCTTAATATCTCCTCTGAACCGCTCTTCTCTTCAATTACGTTTAATCGACTATTTCTTCATTATAAAGTAATATCTGTTCCTTTCTCATTTAATACCATCACTTTTCCTTCAAATTTTTAAAGAAACTAATCACAAATATAAGAGGACTACAGAATGGTGTATATATATTTATGGATTTTGTTTTATATTTTACATTTTAGTATACAAATTTTTGATATGTCATAATT